CAACTACACATTTCAAATAAATACTTTTGTTAATTTTATATTTGGACACCACGAGGACTCCTATATATGAAAAAATTTAATGACACGATAATTTGGGAAACAGAAATAATACAACAATTAAGTAATTTCTACCATCATTGTCTACTAACTGAAATGTTTGATCAGAAATTTTCTATTAAAGAATGGACTCACTTTAGAATGAAGATAGTTTTTTTTTAAATTTATTTTGTAGTATAGAATATAATATTAGGTACATACTTATAGACTTTATTAATTTTTTTTTTAAATAAAAGGTATAATTTAAAAACAAAAGTATATAGCAGTAATAAACATAATAATCCAAGGTAATTAAAGGAGCTGATGCTCACCTAGTTTTTATACGTTTAGACCAATAAGCAGTGGAAAATTAGACATACTTCCAGATGTCAGATTTAAATTTTAAAGTATCTATGCATTTATTAACAAATATTCTAGGTTTCTTAAAGAGCCGATTTTCGATTCTCAGTTTTAAAAACCACCAAATTTATGTTTTTATTTTAAATATCTGTGAAAATATCGAATTGTATTTGTATTTATTTTAGGCATTTTGAATTTTTATTTTATACAATTTTTATTCTGAAAAATGAAATGATATTTTTGGAATGAAAATGGTGACCAGCTCACCATATTGTACATGAACTTTCTGTCTAGGATGTATCTAAGAGTTAATGCTATACCTTTAAAACCCTGAATTCTATTTTATTATGAAAGGGCAATTTATAAAACTTTATGACAATGTATATAAAATTTAATTTACACACTGATATTTTAAATGTTACCCCAACAGTAGTCAAAGATAAAATAAATGATTTTCTATGTGAAAAGTTTGAAAGTGTAAATAACTTTTTTATATTGTCGATAAAGTCTATCAACTTAACAAAGAATGGTTTTCTTCATAAAGTTGTACAAGAAATTTCAAATATGCATATGTTCATTATTTTTAATTATTGCAATGTGCCACACATTTATAAAGAGAAATCGGAAGTTATAAATCTGATAATATATACTATTAATCTACTAAAATAATTACTAATCTTTTCATTTTGTTTATTGCTATCATTGCGTTTAGTTTAATAGCTAATATCAGGTAAGGAAAATTAATATTTTTACTTTGCATTTTTATTTACACAAACTTGTCCTTGCTCTTATTTGAACTAGAATAGATATAAAAAAATTATTTGTTATTATTGATTAAGTAAATCAAATTTTAATAAGTTTTTAATTAAGTTTTAATAAATTTGAAATTTACTATAACCATTTTTGAGCAACATTGTAATAAAACAATGTTAGAATTAAAATAATTTGTTAAATAATAATTTTTTTTTTTTTGTTTAACGAAGACATTTTTCTAGATTTTGAAAACAATGCACACAGATGCTATGATAACCAAATATTACAAATCTCATAACAACTTAAATGATAATATTCGAACTTTAGTAGTTGAATTAATTATTTAACATTTAATAACCAAAAACATAGTTATGTGTCTATGGCACTTGCTGAAAATGTAGCAAACCTAATTCAAAGAATTCACAGTCTAAACTAAAGGTTTGAATGTTTGATATTAAATAATTATTTTAAAAACAATTATATATTAATTGGAACGCAGGAAATTCTTATCAATTCTTAGAGAATAGGTTTGTATATTAATATTTTAATACAATTTCAAAAACAAGTGATTTGATAACTCAAAATACTAATAACAGACAACAAAATGATCAAATCTTCCTACAGTAAACATTTTAGTCGATGGAATAGTAATAATTAAGGTCATTAAAACAAATTACTAAATTTTTAGTTATATATAATAAAAACTTTCATTATTTTATTACAGAAGGGATAAATTAATCTTAAACCAAAATATAGACATGACAACTCCAGAACTTGAAAGTCATTAGGGTGCAACAGTGAACTATCAACATTAAATACAATTAAAAAGGCCACTTCTACACAAGACAAGAAATCGTCAAAGAATAGCCTTGCTATATATGATACCAGTAAGATATAAATTAAAATCACATCTATAATTTTATAAAAAATTTTGCTATGAATCTAAATCCTTCATTTATTTTTTCTTATTAAATCGAGTATTAATTTTAGACTGTGATTTTAACTGACAATAAGTTTTTAATTCAAAACTGGTTGTACAAATATACAATACACTACTGATAATGTTCTGTAATACATAAATATATTTTGTATCTCTTATAAAAACAAACTAGTTCTTACCTACAACCACATAATTTGTATTTTTCTTTTATTGAATACTAATATTATTAGGTAGGTCCGTCGTTTTTCTGACAAGAGGATTCGTCATTTTTTTAAAAAAAAAACAAAATACTTCATAGTAACATTATAGAGACAACCCTCCGCAGATATTTCACCACTGCTTAGTAACCACACATAACCATGGTTGTACACATAGACATAATAGAATTGACAATGGTTAGAGAGAAATAACTTCAGTCAACTTTGTGCAAAAGAGAAAAACCATACATTTGTGGGCATTCTTGGAGAAATTAATAATAATATTTGTCTGCCATAAATAAAATCATGCAACAGAATATTATTCTTATAATCTTATCATAATACCCAAATATGTAAAATACTTGTAAAAATATTTGACTTTCTAGTTATTATTTTACTAAACATCTGGAGTTTCTGATTTTCTGTTCTAATATTTATAAAAAAACCAAATAGCAATGGTTAATACTTGATATGTACTTGGATGTAAAATCAGAGCTTTAAAAGGAGGTCCTAGATTTCACAGGTACCCAAAATATTTTTAATTGAATTTAAAACGTATTATTTTGAAATTACTAAGGTCTCAAATTTTAAACAATTTCTGTTTATAAATGGATTTTGTGGAGGATCTCTCCAAATAATAGTTTATATTATAGTTTATAAATAATAGGAAATTTTTTTTAAATACAAATATTAGATGCATTATTATTCAACTGTATTTCTGTGGTCGTAACTACCATAAACTTTGTATTTTTTTTTTTCTGTTCTTTTGTAATACAAATATTATTAGGTAGGACGTCGGTTTTCAGCACCACTTCGTGGACTTTACCGAGTACTGACCGAGGCTCGGGCCGGGACCATAGTTTGACGGGCCACGCAAAACTCACGTCGGTAAAATATCCGGCGACGTACGTAACGAAAGACACGAAAATAAAATAGCCACGGCCGATCGCACACAAATACGAAAAATAAACACTAGCACCGGCCGTAATAAATACGAATTTCCGGCTATTCGATTCACACCATTATCTTTTACGTATAGATATCGCACAGGTACGTCACGGGCAACCTCGCGCCGGTTTCGCAGGACCGCTTTGGGATCACCGACCGGGGGAGGGGCCGGGCGTCGTTCGTTGACGGGCCGCGGACAATTACGCGAAACAATGTAATCCGACAAAATGTCGGGCGACGCACGCATCGAAACATAAACGTCGAGGCCGGTCGCACTAAAGCTTCCCATACACTACGATGAAACACGACGGTTTTTATTTCTGTCGAGTCTTGATTTTAAACACGACGGGTTTACCGTTTGTCGTTTAAAGTCGTAATGTGTGGACTTTCCGACAATAACCGACGTGTTTATTAAAATAAGTATGCTCATCCGTTGTTAACTAATTAAACCAACCTCCAGGACGTGGCTTCAGCTCATTCAATAACTTTATATGAGAACATCTTTTTTCTTTTTAACAACCACTCTTTAGTCCATATCGAACGTTTTCTAGTATTTTTTTTTTTTTTTTGATAAAACAGCTTTTGCCACAGCCGCTGCTGTCAATTGCGTCGAATTCGTGGAATACAAAAAAAAAAATATTTGCTATACCTCTGCTGAAATAAACTGAATAAATTTAATGAAAACCGAAGCATCACTCGATTTTGCAACACGAAGTGTGTACAACTGACGACGCAGCACGATGAAAACCGTCGCGTTTCATCGTAGTGTATGGGAAGCTTAACGCACAATTTTGACTATGAAAAAACACCACGTGCGAGCCGGCCGGTACCTGGAGATTACATGCACGGTACTTACATATAATTTCGGTGTGCCGGCGACCAAACGACCAAATTACCGCCCGGCACGCCCGTCCGTATACGTTATTATCATCGGTACAGAAATATAATCGGTATCGTATTTTGTAGAAAACCGAACTGTCGTGGAACGCAAAAAAAATAAAATACGGCCAGTACGGACACGACCGAGGATGTTGAACGGTCCGCGGACCCAGCGCGAAAGAATGCACAACCATCATTCGGAGTATTAAATAGCGTTGGGAAGGCACCGCGGGATGCGCAGAGACGCCCCGCCAGTCGGCCAAGTCCGCACTGCCGCCGCCGCCGACAACCCTGCGGCTTGTACTCGGTCGCGGTCCGGTGCGAGGAGGGAGGGGGGAGAACTGGTCCGGCCGCGTCGATTAAAATACATTTAGTGTTGTTATCAAAATAATGATAACGTGCGTTCGTGGCGACTGCTCACTGTCTGTAAATCGTTATCGTCGTCGCCGCCCGGAATAACCCGCGCGATCATTTTCATACAGTTTTATCGGTGAAATCGACTTGGTCCCCGTGTTCAAGCGCCTGCTTGTAACCGCCGCGTTGTGACGACCGTCTGCAGATCGTGTCACCGCACAATCGCAGCACGTTTGTTACCCGTTTCGGGGACCCTCGGTCGAATGCCAATAACGTAATATAATATATTATTATTGATTGTTTTGTTCCTACTCTACTTTTTAAAATATTATTTATATCAGTCGATTGACTCGTGCTTAAAGATATCGCCTTATCTATTATACAAAATGGGCCGTTTATAAACTTCTGGGATGTTTTTTTTTTTTTCTGGTAATAATTTAGAAAAAATAATAATATTAATTTGCTTAACAACAATAAATAAGTAAGAAATTAACACCTGTTTGGCAAATACAGTAATAACTTTCGACGGTTATGCGCATGGTCAATAATAACAGATAGTTTATCAAACAATATCTATAATTGTAGTATAATACTAATAGCCTTCGACGGCTTGAACAATAAAATAAATATATGTGCCTTCGACGGCGCTCACAACACATACCTACGGCGCGGCGGTGTGTAGCAACGAAATAACAATATGCCTACGGCCTTAATATATATTATTATTATTAAAATATATATTATGTTTAACTCAAACAAATAATGTTTAGCCAAGTGGCTTGGTACCTTTGCAAAACAGGCCCAAAAGAAAAATAAACTAACTCGTTTGTGACCGCATCAGATTTGATCCCGACACTAACAATTTCACAGCCCGCGCACGTGCGACCACCCAGTCACGGTCACCAGAAAATGGGAAATTCGTGAACATGTGCTCCTCTTCGTAGCTGCGACCATAGAAATCAGAACGTTCAGCTTAAATGAAGAAATCGACAAGACAATAATACCGTCGGCGCGCATGCCACCAGGGCCGTCCTTAGGGGGGGGGCGAGCAGGGCCCAGGCCCTGGGCCTCGCGTTTGAAAAAAAGTAGTAATTTTTTTATTTAAATTGTATTTTATATAATATAAATTATATAAAAATAACGTAGTTGATTCAAAGTAAAAAGATTGAAGTATCGATAATACAATATTATCGTAATTGGTAATCGCAACACATCAGCCGCGGTGATGCGGCTTTTTCCCGACCGTCTTTTTCGTCGAATTGTTATTAGTTATCTTATCTATTACTAACAAATATTAAGATAATAATAGATTTAAAACGTCGCCGTCGCTCGTCGGTTGTCACCGTTGGAAAAACATTGATAATAATAAACAGTATTTATTAAGCAAATACTAGGTAGACCGATTTTATTAGTAGTTTTTACTTTTTCGTGTGTGCGTTTGCTGTTGACGTCGCCACGTCGGTTGTATCTAATATTCTAATACATTAATAGATATTAAAATGAGTGGTCGATTACGGGATAAATATCGACAATTTAAAAGTGGTAGCGAAAAACGAAAACGTAAGTTTGCTATTGAACATCAAAATGAACGTCAAATAAACTCTTTATTCAAATTTTTCAAAAAACATCATAATGATGATACTATAGCCGATAGTGGTGAAATTGAAAGTGAAAATGCGAATCTCCAATTGAGCGACAGTGCCAATGTTAATTCTGAAAAAGTAGAAGTTCAATTCGTATAACNACGATCCAGGTAACTGGCCACAAAATATTAATGATAACTTACGGATTTATTTAGTTAAAAACCCACCTTCAAAAATTAAAAACTATAAGTTTCCATCTAACGATGAAGGTCGTAAATTTAGTGTAATACATTATAATAGAATAATGGCCAACGGTGAAAATGTGATTAGAAATTGGCTTTTGTATTCTAAATCTTTTAATCGAGTATTTTTAAGTCTACATCATCTTTGGCATCGATAGGATTTTCAAATTGGAAACACATTAATGAACGTTTAAAAGAACATGAATTATCTATCATAATACGGCTCAAGAAAAATGGATACAATTACGTATGGGACTTGGTCTTCATAAAACTGTAGATAATAACATACAAGATAATTTAAATATTGAAAAAGAACGTTGGCGTAGTATTCTTAAACGAATTATTGCATGTATAGAGTTTTTGGCAGAACATAATGACGCTTTTCGTGGTACAAGTTCTAAATTATATACAGCGAATAATGTTAAATTTTTAGGACTAATACGAATGATTGCGAAATTTGATATTATTATGGCCGATCATTTGAGACGCGTATGTAATGATGAAATACATGATCATTATTTAGGACCTAGAATTCAAAACGAACTTATTAGTATTATTGCCACAAAAATACGTGATGAAATAATTAATCGCGTTAAGCAGAGTAAATACTTCACGATTTTATTAGATAGAACACCTGATAAAAGTCATAAGGAGCAGCTTACATTTCTTTTACGTATTGTAGAAATTTCGAAAAATTTGAAATATGAAAAAAATTAATATTTTATATGCTTTATTCACACTTCAAATAAATCTGGTTTAAATTTAACTGAGGAAATAAAAGAACAATTACAATTAAGGAACTTGGACTTGAAAAATTTCCGTGGCCAAGCATACGATAATGGGGCAAATATGGTCGGCCGAAAACAGGGAGTACAATCCCAAATTATTTCAGAGAACCCAAGAGCTTTTTTTATACCATGCACTGCGCACAGCCTTAATTTACTTCTTGGGGACATGGCATCGTCTGTACCGGCTGCTATGACATTTTTTGGCGTAATTCGAAGAATTTATACAATTTTCAGTGCTTCTACTGAAAGATGGACTATTCTTTTAAAATACGTTTCAGACTTTACTTTAAAACCAATGTCAGATACCAGATGGGAATCTCGGGTCGAATCAATTAAACCTATTCGTTTTCAATTATGACAAGTACACGGTGCTTTAGTAGAAGTCAGTGAATTAACAAAGGATCCTAAAATAAAAAGTGAAAGTTCGTCTTTGGCAAATTATAAATTTTCTTATGATTTTATTTTGAGTGTTGTTATTTGGTATGAACTACTATCTGCTATTAATAAAGTTAGTAAGAGTCTTCAGAGCGAAAACATGGAACTGAGTAATGTTGTTCAGTTATTAAGTGGTCTTAAACATTTTTTTAATAATTTTAGAAAAGGGGTTTGAGTTATCAAAAAAAACTGCACTACAATTATGTGAAGACATTGGAACTCAACCAATTTTTAAACAATCTAGAGTTCTAAAAAAAAGTAAACAGTTTGATTATGAATGTAATGATACACGTACAGTTTCTAATGAACAACAATTTTATCAAGATTATTTTTTGGCAGTGGTAGATCAAGCAATTGTATCAATTAATCAACGATTCGAGCAATTATTTCATCATTCAGAAAACTGGATTTTTATATAATATTGAAAATTTGAAGTTATTTGAAGATGAAACATTACGAAAGCATTGTATGGATTTAGAAATATTATTTAAGGACGGTGAAAGTTGCGATTTGAATGGAATTGAACTTTTTGACGAGTTAAAAATATTTTGTAGAATTTTGAACAAACAAAAAACCTGTATCGAGTGTCTTCTATCGCGTTAAGAATATTATTAACTCTTCCGATAATCACTGCAAGTGCTGAGAGAAGTTTCTCGAAGTTAAAAATCATTAAGAATTATTTGAGAACAACAATGGTGCAAGATAGACTTTCCGATTTAGCAATTATTTCAATTAAACGTGATTTGTGTGAAAATGTAGACTATAACGACATTATTGAAAATTTCGCAGAAATAAAAGCCAGAAAAATTGATTTTTGACGAATAAAATGATTTTTTACTGTATTTTTTTATTTTTTAATATTGTAATTTGTCTGTTTATTTTTATTTTATTAAAATGCAAATTTGTATAAATAAGTCAATAAGTGACGATTAATATGAGTCATAGGTGAGTAAATAAAAAATAAACATGCAA